CTATACTGTTAACGAATTAAAATTCAGCTTTATAAGATAGTAAAAACATAATGATGATTTCAATAATCTAAGAATTGGTTTTATTAATATTTTATTAAGCTATTAATTGACCAAGTTATTTAAAAACGGTTGTAATACAGTTAAAATCAAAGAAATCGTAAATGTTGCAAATATAAACAAAATGTTATTAGAAATGTAATAATCAATACAATTTATTTTATATTTTAGACGATAGGATTGAGCACTTCGACAAATAATTCTTCTATGATATTTAATTTTTTGTAAATCCTTCACTTTCAAATTTTCCTGAGAAACATTATACAAATTTAATAAAAGTCTGTTCCCCAATGAAATTGTTTTAGTCACATTATAAACATATAACAACAGAATGGTCTAGAAAAACAGTTTGTTAGCTTTTATAAATATATCAATATCCCTATTACTCACAACTCTTATAATAACTGATAAGCTGTATCTTATTTTATCTTCGCTAGTACTAGTGAACAAAATTAAGTATAAAATAAAATATACCGAAATCGAACAATCACACACAAAAGCCATGAGCATTTGGCCTCCAAATAGAGTACTTTATCATCGTATCTAAGATTTTTTATTGTATTATTTTTAATTAATTTACGATGAACCTGGAAGTAACACCTACTAAATCCAAATAGAGTGTTGAATTTTACGACAATTTCATACATAACTGTGTATAATGCAATAAAATCTTTGATTTTTAATAATTCTTCTTTCAAAATACACAAAAAAAAAATTATGACGGTAAACGTATTTCGTACTTATTTCAAGAAAAAACGTATATTAAAATTGCCCAAAAAGCTTTGTTCTTATTTCTACCCAACAGACCATTTTATTTTAAAAGTGTCTATTTGAAATTAAAGAAAAAATTCTTGCAGGAAAACATTATCTTCTCATAACAACAACTTTCGCATTTACATTTCACATAAAAAGTATTTATTTTAAAAATGTACTTATTTATTGTGGTGTAACATCATTTCAAATAAAGTCTTAAACAATTAACAATAAAGCTTTCTCATTTTGAAACAAAATATATGTTTTGTTATTCTAAATACAGTTAGTTTTTTAATGCCATATGAAATTTATATACTAATTAGTTGCTTTTATGACTATGCATTTTTAAATTAAAAGTTCGTACCATTTTAAAACTAAAGTATTTTTCTTTGAATGTAAAAATTTACTTATTTGCTTTTACGGTTATAACTTTTTAATTTAAAAGTACTTTAGATTTTAAACCTAATCATTTTTTTAATATGAGGGGATGTGTTTAGTAATAAATAAAAAACTTATTACATTTAAATAATCTTATTTTATTTCTATTTAAAAATAAATAAGTGATTCTATTACCTAACTAGTATTTATCAACTTTTTAAGTACATCAAAACAAATGTGCTGAGCTTAGCTATGCAACTTTAAATTTATTTAAATCAAAGTATTGTCACGTTTTAATTTATGTTATAAATCGAATTAAATGAGCATTCTTGCAAGTATACTTTCCAATTCTTTGAATCTCCAATAAATACCTTCAGTAGCGTAAATGATCGTTGGATCCTATTAAGAATTGTTGTATGCCTGGGTAAGTAGCCCACGCCGGGTAAAAGCTTATTACTTCTAATATAAGTATCAACTAAATTAATAAAAATACACTTGATATCGTAATAAAGTTAATTTTTGAACCAATTACGACTTCCATTTTAGTTAAACGATTTAAAATATCAACCCAAGCTTTTGTTTAACTTACATTAAACTGGTAAATGAAGTAAATGTTTGCCGATAATGTTTGAACCAGTGTAATGATTATTATACAGTATGTCCTCGGAAAAGGTGTTGAATAGGAATAACCTCTTTATTTTTAATTTTATCGACAAAAGTTAATTTTGATAAAAATTTTTGCTAGTTCTTAGAGTAAGATTGGGATAGAAACATTTAACATATTTTATACGCGGTGTTCAGAAAACTGAAAAAACTTTAAATGGTACAAGAGTAAAGTGCATTTATTTGAGAAGATAAGGCAATAAGTTGCTAGGAAAAGTTGTTCAAAAGTAAAAGGTAGTCTCTAATACCAATTTTCGAAAAAATCGGCCTACTTTTATTTATTTGTGATTATTTTTGTACTAGTAGGCATTTGTACTAAATTCATAGTAGATTTATACTGTAAAAAGCTGTATTATATTTAAATAAATCTTCTTTAATCTGGATTTTTAAGCATTGACCTATCTTATCATACAAATTGAAGTTGATTTGGTAAATACCGCTAAGTTCGAAAGAGTGAAATTCATGTTTGTTGTTAATAAGAAATTGCCCTTATTTTCTGTTTTAAAATCTGGTATAAGTTGGTATAATCTGGTATGTTAATAGACCTGCTATAAACTCTATTATAAATTACCTGGCTATCTTTCATATTATTGCCATTATTAAAACCTATTTTTATGCATAATAATGTTTGTTGGGGAGTCTTTTCTATAAAAAAATTCGTTCAACCTGGAAACTTTGAATTTGCTGGTACCAATCCTCCTCTCAAATCTTTTATAACCTCACAAGGTTGGAGATTAGCTATAGCAAGAAATCTATAGGTTTAAAGTTAAAAACTCGGCCCACTTCTGTACCGGAAAAACGCCGTTGGTTTTCATTGATCATAACATCAAGATCAACGTTGTCAGCTATCAAAAGCGAGTTTTACGAGACGTTCCGAAGCCATGGGTGGCGGAACACTTCGGTCAACAAGGATTCATTTTTCAACAAGATTGGCGGTTGTCACATTCGGCCAATTCGACAATCGCCATTTGCGAAGAGCTGTTTCCGACTTTTGGGGCAAAGACGCTTGGTCGCCTAATTCGCCGGATTTTAACCCAATGGATTATTCCGTTTGATTCATCTTTGACTAATAAATTTCAAGAACACCATACGCCGTCGTAGTAGCGCTCAAAACGGTTCTGCTACGCGCGTGGGTCGAGATTACGGTAGAAATGTGTGCGAGCGTCGGAAATTTTCAAAAACTAATACATAATTTTTTAATTATTAGTTATTTTGATTTTTAATTAAATTTAGTGTTAGTGTTTCAATAAGAAATGTTTATCGAATTGTGTGATAGTTATAGCCTATTGAAATATTTAAAAAAATATTCGGGAATGTTTTGAACACTTTGCAGTTGTTCCGTGATATAGCATCCACAATTTCTGAATTGGTCTGCGATTGGCGACTGATTGGGGACTTTTTATTCTTCTATGTACAATGCAAAGGAAAACCTTCAATGTGTACACAGGCTCATTATACTAATCAATCTGTATTCGTCGTTTTACCAGCTATGTCTTCGGAACTGATACAAAAACAGACTTCAGCCACTATTCGGGTATTTCACCAGTAGTTTACACAGCGTTAAAAAACGTTGGGCATTAATGTGGTTTTTGTGGATCATTTGCTAGTGTTTTGTAGGTCCAGTTGCTATCTTAGTTTTGGCTGATTATATAACTTCACACTTTAAGATTTCTGTTCCTTCATCTTGATTTACATTACCTTATATATTATTACAATTTTGTTACATATTTACTCCATGTTTCAAGAACTTCTCGTCCAACAACAATAATTTTTCCTACATCATCTACTAATATATGTGACAACATCTTCCCGAACATTCTTGTACATGTGGCACATGTCATGCTTTTTTTCGTACTCTTCATTTTCCCAATATCTATCCGCCATCCACTTCTCGTTAGCCGATCGCATTTTTTGTTTTATTTCTTTTTGCTTTCTTCTGTTTTCCTCTGCGTGGTCCTTCCATTGTCTTCTTTGTTCCATAAAGTTTAGTATTTCTTCCGTTATCCATTGTTTCCTTTGCCTATCCGTTACTCTACGTTCTTCCAATACCTTGGTCATATGTTCACGTAACAATTTCCATGTTTCCATGACACTTTCGGTTGCTCTCATTTCTTTCATGTCGTTTATGTTTGTATACATCCTTTTTAATTTTGTTTTTGTTAACGTCCGAAGTAATGGGTTTTTTTTGAAGGTGTTTCTTCTGTATCCGTTTGTTTGACTTTTACGTCGGTGACTAAATAATTGTAGTCAGAGCCGTTCGTTCATTACTTTCTCCTACGCTATACTCCCCCACTAGATTTAACACATAACCGTTACTAATTTTGGCATTATAATTACAATTAAATATGTGATTTCGTTAGATTTTAAGCTTCACTTCATTGCTATACTTTTTTTCTGCAGTAGGGAAATATATCTGTAATCGGTTTATATTAAATGGAGATGCGTGTAGTCGTAAGAGTATTTATTCCTCGATTTTCGATGTTATGAAAATTCCTACTCGATTTCTATCGCGCTTGGAGTAATACAATATACGTCTTTGTGCTGCTTGTTCCTGCTCCAGGCGATCGTACTTTATTCACATCTATGAATGACAATTTCAAGAGTTTAGTCTGTAGAACAAGGTTTTCGAATTTTCCAGCAGCATAAATTCTTCTGACATTTCAAGTGCCTATCTGAACAGTAGATTTTGTTTTTTGGTCCGGAAAATCTTAGAACCCTTTGTCCACAAAAGGGCTGCCCGAGACTAGGGGCCGAGACTGGAAATGTTAACAGAGTGACTTCCCGTTGCCTTAGCTACTATGTTTGGTTAGTAAAGTTTATAATATGAAATAACAAGCATTTTACAGCAAATTTAATCTTGTTTTTATACGCTATATACAATTCCTTCATTCATACAACTCCCAATGGGAAGATTTTTTAATTAAGAATACTATAATGATTGACGAAAACACTAAATTTCAAACATTGTATCTCAAATACTTATTGAGAGAAATACTTAATTGTAGAAAGTTATTTTCTTATTGTGTTTGGTTGATGAAGCTTTAAATAAAAAAAATCCTAATACAAGAACTTTAAAATATTGCATTTAAGAATAATTGGAAAATTTTAATGTAATAAAATCCTTATATACGTTTTTATTTTTATTTTAGGTAAAACAAAGACAATTACAGTAAGGACTTTTTTAATGAAGTAACCAAAAAACTCTAAAATGTACGAGAGAAAGATTGAAATATCTCTTCATGACAATTGGATGTTGGAATTTCTCATGAAGCTTTACATCAATAAAGGATAGTGATCTCATGGGAGTTACGGCAGTCATGGGCAAGGAGCTATGGCGTTTCATGTTGGTTTTTCTTTGGTTTCACTTCCCCACAGGGATTTTTACGCAAGGTAAGTTTTGAATTTTGATCCGGTTTAACGTTTGTTAATGCGAAATGCGGAGGTTTTCGCTCTGTTTCTACACCTAAAGTTTGTTTGTCGGTCAGTTGGTTCTTCCGTGGCCATTAGGGATAAACGTTTGCACACAATGGCACTGCCTATTATTTCCAGTCAGTTGCGATTTATCAAAGCACCGGCAATTGAAATAAATAACGTCGACCGGACGCAATTTACAAACTAACGTGGCAAACGGCACCGGCAGTGGCGGCCACGAACTCACTCGAGATCATAATTTTCCACGTTAACGCTTTTCATTCGAATAACTCCAACAATGGTCTCGTCGAAACCTAGGGGCTGAACATGATGGTTATTAATTTCACGGATTGGGATGAGAGAAAAACAATAATAAAAAAATGTCCAATCAAATTGTTCATTTGTAGAAAATCAATTTTTTGGATGCCGATGTTTTAACGCTTTAATATTCGCAGTAAAATATTCAATTCAATTTTCCCTCATAATGCAACGAAAAATTTAATTAGTTTTGGGAAATCAAAAAATGAGAAATAAAATCTTTTAACATAATATGTATTGTATGTATCACTTGTGTACCATTGTAGGTACTTATCATTTTCTACATTTTGCTAAATCTTGTTCAAAATTTTATGATAATGTATGAAGAAAATTGTGATGTTTGGATAATATACGATACTTCCAGATACATTCTGCGTTTTGTAAGCAACAACTTCTTTTTTAGTCTTTCCGAAATACTTACCTTGAATGTACTCTCTAAATGAGAAGGTGTGAATAGATATGGTTGTGAGTAAATGCAGCCTTGGCGAAACCTATGCATGAGCATTTTTCTGAAGCTTAAGCTTTGTTGATTAGTCCCAGAATACGCGTAGGATGGACTCAAATCCACTTGGTGCGAAATCTGTTCTCCACACCCATCCCACACTTCTTAATCAAGGTACGAAGGAGCTGTTTCCCGACATAGATATTACAAATATTCCTCAATTGAACCTCATTTACACTTCTTAGAAGTTTGAGATGTTACAGGAGGAAGTTCGTTAGTATCTGATACCTAGATTTTATAACTTATTTCATTAAAAAAATAGCAAATCTTCATATAAATAGCAGAATAAGTACCCTATGTGCTGAGCTTGAAAGCTGCAATGAAAGTAGTTGATGATCGAACGAGCATTAAAAGAGTTTCTGAAGTACAGCGATTTCCAAGGAAAACAATACGTGATCATATTAAGTGTGGATCACAGATCAGATAGCTTGGGCACAACACATATCATAGTACAGAAATGGAAGACGAACTCTATGTTCGATTGAGGTAGATTCGAGGTAGGTATACCGATAACAGGAAATACTTTGTACAACCTTAATTATTCGATATGTCAAAAGCGGTCTGTAGGTAGAAAGTGACTACGATTATTCTTGTAACGCTATCCGGAGGTAAGTGGAAAAAATGGCCAAAATATGATTCCAGGCCGGGCTATAAAATTAAACAAAGTATTAATGTTATGACAAAACCTGAAACAATCTATAATATTAATGAGAAAGAGCTCACAGATCATCATCGGGAAATTATTCTAGCAAGACGAAGTGAAAAAAGAGTGCATCTAGGTGCGTCTGAGCATATGGAAAATGAGCTATTCTATCTATGGTGTTCTTCAAAGATCAGCGAGGGAAACCATCTGGAACAGAAACTGTCATGAGCGACAGTTACTGTATGATAACGGCTATTTTCATCAGAAGACTTAACCATATTGCTCCATATAACTTAGCCGGAGAAGTGGGGCTAATATTCAATGGAGTGTCATCTCATCAGAATGTAAACATCACAAGTGCTGATGATAAACATTATGTCACGTTATTTTGTCTTTCGAGTAATATACCGATGAGTTGTAACCAAGCAGTCTTCAATCCATTTCAAATCTTTTATGATGTAGAAATTCTGTTGTTCTATGATACAAATAAAACCAGCAACTTGAGGAAAAGTTATTTGGAATATAATATGGAATACAATAGGGCGTGGAAAAGAACTTTGAGAGTATACAACAAAAAGAGTGGCTTCACTGAAATCTATCCGTTCGACCCTAACGTTATTCCTGCTGAGGCTCTTGTTTCTTAAGTTATGTCTCATACAACAGATGAGACATAGTTTTCAGTGTGTGTAACTCCAAGGGAAGAAGACTCATCTACTGACTTCAGTAAACCTGAAAACAATCTCTGCGTCTCCTCCTTGGTGCAAATAGTACCATTGGAAAAAAAGTCTCACTAACTACAGTTTCAACCAGAATAGCAACAGATCAATGTTTGATGAATCAAGTACTGATCTAACCCGATTTTAAGCAATTTTCTCCACACCAAAGCGAAAGCGCCCACAGGCTATCAGACGTAAGTCACTAAATTATAAAGATAGCTTAATCGCAATTTCACTCTTCAGTCAGAAGGGAATAATTTGATTCTTTTTAAACAGTTTTTATGTAAACGTAATCAATTTTACCAAAAGAAAATAGTCTGTTTTGTTTGGTCTTGAGTTTAGTTTCAAGCAATATCCCTTTCTATTATTACTCTATGATCTATTTACTTTGGTATTTTAGGTTTAAATTGCTTACAACTTTTCATAATGTTCATAATATGTTATAATTATTCATGACTCACTTCCTTACTAATTACACGAAATGTACTCGGTATTACTTCGACCATCAAAATTTCATTAAAATTTTAACAACTTTTTCGGTGCCCAATTCAACACGCAGAAAGTTTTCCTAACTACCCTTAAACTTTCTTGTTACATCGCTCTTTAGAAGTAGCGACGAGAATCCGTATGAATATTCATCGCTCGGCCTTGTGTCGTTTAATCATTACAAAAGTGGTGTTGACTTCCAGCGCTCGCCGTTTGACCCCCATAACAGTCGGACACGAGTTTCATTACAATCCCTTTTCCCTTAGGGTTAATTGAATAGGGGGGCTTTGTTTTGACCCCTTTTTATTTAATAACAAATCTAAAAAAAAAAAGTCGCCTAGAGCTCGCCACCAAGACTTTTCATGTGGCTTAATTGAATCTTTTTCAACCAGGAAATTAAACGTGGGCTTTCCCGATGGTTGAATGCTCACTTTCATTTTAATTTTTTTTTGTTTTTCATTTCATTCTGGAATAACATTCTTTGTTACTAAGTTAAAAGTCGCTTTTAATCCATTCTACAAGTTTTGTAGTTTCAAAAAATTAGAATGGTATTTAATTTGGTTTGATAAATGTTAATTTAAAAGATTTAGTTAAAAGGTCAACCCAACAAAAAGTAAGGTCGATTCACCCTTGGGTGGTAATTAATCTTGGACGGTAGTGGTTTTTGCCCGACACGTTTCTCTGTAACAAAAACGTGAAAAACTGATTTCAGAGGAATAGAACGGGACGGTGATAAAGCAAATGCTGGTTCTGGTGGACTGCATCTAGTCGGGGAGTGTTGGCAAAAGGGATTGCTTGGAGGCGGTAAAAACGTATGCTTCGTTAAGTTTTACATTTTTCGGACGAGAAAATCGCGCGAGCCGAATGAATTTACAGACACAGAAGGGGATTTCTCGTTTATACTGGACATGAAGTGATTTTTATTTGCTTTTTACCCTACGGGGTTTCGTGGTGTATTCGTTAACGTTCAATAGCGGGTAAACCATTTTAAAATCGTCTTTGAAATCGGAAACTTTGAAAGGAACTTTTTTTAGTTGGTTTTCCATGAAAACGTTACATGAATAGGTTACTTTCATATTTCAAGCTTCAAAGTGATTTGTCGAAGATTTTGATTTGAATTTTCTGATACAATTTATTTTAATTAAGACTTTTATGATGTTAATTTATGAAGGTTTCGGTGCTATATATCTTCAAAATATATAATATCTACCCAATTTCTATTATATTCCCTTTATCTCTCGAAAAGGTCAGAAATATTGCAGTTCAAGATGAGAGACAAAAAGAGGGTAATATACTTAATACTCCCCTCTTAGGCCTTCGTCTCACTTACTCTTGTTAAAACAAAAGGGCGGTCCAATCTGGCTCTGCTTATCTTCCAGTTTTCTTAATATTCTTTCGCCTGACAGGTTGTCTTAATTAAGAGGAAGCTCGCAGAGCACTTTACTCGCTATCTATTGCTCGGAAAGGGAGGAATCCCGATACCGTGCTCATTGGAGAGTTCTCGAACGAAGGCAGGTTAATTAACTATCACCTTACGAAAATGCATATTTAATCTCGCAAGCTTTTCTTTTGCCAATGGATTCTTATTTTATCCCTGGGTTTAAAGTTTAATGTTCTACGTAAGCGAATTACGAAGCGTGGGTTGGTATAATCGATGGATTCTTTAGCAAACAATCTTAAAAGTTAGTTTTTAAATTTTTAAACGCGAATTCTTAGTCATAAATATTTTTATAAAAACTAAGATCAAACTACGTTTGAAATAAAACGCTTTTAATAAGTTTCTTAAACAAGAACTAATAATGACTTGAATATTGGTAACTACAAAACTTCTTGCATTATAATATTCCAAGTTTCACAACTTCCTTCATTACCGAATGATTTTCGCAAGAGAACATCTCTATATGACGAAGAAACAGGACGTTATTAAAACTTATTACAGCGATTTTTTGAAGGAATAGTCCAGGAAGATGTAGTGTTTGGCATTATTCATCAACTCTAAGCACCTTGTTACAGAATTTCATGTGCTAGAGAGGGTCGCCGCACACTGGATGCACTGAAACTCTAATAATCCACGTAGTTATAGTAGTAGCTGAGGAAGCTTTGCCAAAGTTCCCAAATCGCTCGACGCGTGCGCAAATAAATTTTCTCGGGTAAACTTTGATAATTTTCACGATATGCGGACGCTTAGTATAGAATCCCTTTGATCACGTTGTGTAATACTTGTAGAATGTATAGAAATGGGTCACAAACGGTATCCAACGGGTTGCGGTCTAGTAACTGTTATAATCCCGGTCGACGCTTCGTAATAACATTA